TACATACTGATTCTGTTTCCTCAATGAGTATTCCACCCGAACAAGCAGAAAGTATTTTCAGCTACAAAATTTTGTCTTCTCATGAATCTAAAGGTTAGGAATCTTTTGAAGATCTTGAATTTGACTCTTCTGACATGTGCTGCGATGTTTCCACAAAACAGTGTGTCTTTTACACCCACCTCCATGAAAAGCTTCCAAAGAAGTATTTATAAGAAGCAATCCCACCTTTTTGACACTGATGGCAACAGCTTCTTTTTGACTGTAATCATCTACAGTAAGGTCACTTCCAAATTTGTACTCCGGATGAGCTTCTTCTTCCTGATCAGCTGCACAGAAAAGAAAGAAGGATCAGTGAAAAAAACCAGCAACTGCTGATTTTGAGTGAGTCATGAAACAGACAGTTGAATACATAGGTTTGGATTTGGCATTTTTTAAAATCAGAAATAAAATCCAGGGTTTTAGACTGCCAAGGATTAGTAGTATATTACAGCTAAGGCATGAGATTCTTACAGCTTTCACATGGTTAGTAAGAGAAATTTTATTTAGTGTATTTTTGAAGGAATCAGTAATTTACATAGCAAAACTGTTGAAAACCCAATAGGCTTGGGGAAATAACAAGAAATGAAGAGAGAGGTCTTTAAATAAAGATGTAAGAAGTTGCTGATGTCCAGGCTTCCCACGTGCATTGTTAGGATCTCCTTATACTCCTCCCCATGACACGGAATCATTTTCATTTGCTTTTAAGGTGATTTGCTGTTAGAATCTAGTGTACGCAAAGAATCTAAAAAGTTCTCTTACAAACACAGAATCATTAATCCCATTATTCATACGGATTTAAACAACTTTAGAAAATACTTATTTGAGCTTCTTGGTAGTCACATAATTAATAACACGGCACAGTAAGAGCACTATCAGAAATAATCATTCCAATGGAAATAAGCCCGCAAAACAACAGAATTTCATCTGTGCTCCTCAAAAAGCTGTTGTACTTCAATCTTTCAGCATTTCAAAGTCAGATACTAGATCTGAATCACAAAGGACATCTTTCATGAGGCTTTGTAAAATAAAAAAAATAAAAGTAAAAAAAAATAAAAATCAAGGAGAGGACCAAGGGGTAGGCTAAAGCTGAGATGTTCAGTATGACAAGGTCACGGGCCCGTACCTTGGTACAGACACTTGTAGGCAATGCATGATGTACCTCTTCTGAAGGTGAAAATTTAAAACAGACAAGGGAAATCACACCCTAGATATGCCTGTTTTTCTCTGTTGTCCATAAACACATTCCACAGTACTGGCTCAGATCTAGATGTTTACACTGAAAATATCTGAAGTTTGGCAAGAAAAATCCTATCCCTCATTTTATCCTTATAAAGTACCATGCAATAATCCAAGCTGATGTTGACACAATTATTAAAAATAGTGACAAAATCTGGTTTGAAAACAAAGATCACAGCTTCCCAGTCTCTCCCTCACACATACATATAGACACAGTGAAAATCTGACTTGGTTGCTGGTCCAATATGACTTCTGAACAGTAAGTGGAAGCTAAAATTACCACTATTACCACCAACAGAGCTCAGCACAGAGCCAGAAGCACCTGTGGTATGTATCAGAGATGAGATGGTAAGGCTGGTAAATGGTCCTGCACTGAGCGCAGACTTACTGCTGCTGCTACAGACCATGGGCATGTGGGTAACATGTACACTGGCTGCTCATGCCAGACTACTGATTTACCACAGGCAATATCTGAGACCCCTTCTCTACGAAATCCTCACCACTTTCTATCTCTTCTTCATTATCATCCTCTAGGATATTTACAGGAGCAGCAGTTTCCCCAGCCTCCATCATCTTTTTCAGAGCATCAAGCTGTTCTGTTCAAAAGAAAAATAAAAATAAATTAGTCATGGCATGAGAACAATCAAATTATTCTCTGCTTCCAAGAGCTACTTTTATTTAATGAGTTCTCTAAGTTCTCAGTTAGCAATAAAGTTTTACAGAGTAACAGCATCATTAGACATACACTGTTGTTAGATCTGAAAAACGGCCAGTAAAGGCTGTATCCAAAGCTTACTGAAGTTAAAAAAAACATTTTCATAGACTTCAAAGGTCTTCAGAGGAAGCATACTACTTCTTCAAAGAATAAGCAGACAGCTCTCTCTTTGGTGCTTGATCTATGCAAACGGAGGCAAAGTGCTTGAATTTTCAATTGTGTTTCCATGTACACTTCAGTTAGCATGAACATAATCATGTATGACTGAAGTCAGTGGAAGGTCTGCATGCTTATCTCTGAATGGAGAAGAACGGGGGTTTATCACTATAGCCATACTAGAAACTAATATAGCAACATTATTATTATTACTGAAAGAAGATAAATGCCAGAACTGGCAACAATAGCAAGAGAAGTTTGAAATTCCATTTCATTTTATGCTTATCCTTGAAAAACACAGCAATGCAAACATACCAACGTAGGCAGAATTCACAAGAGATTCTATCTGCATTATATTTTAGCTCAACCAGCAATCTGATAGAAGTCCCAGGATTACATTTGTAGGTCTACCTATGCCTATGCCACACACTGATATCAAGGCCTAGACTATGGCACTCCTATGAAACACAAGGGCAAACAAAGTGTCATTTATATATAATAATGATATTCTTCCAACACTCAAGTACAAGCCATTTGGAAACTCTAGTAACAAAGTCTATTCATATCTATCTGGACTTCTGTTTTATTTAATACTTGACAAGCCTTACTTACTTTTCTCTACTTCAGGTTTCAGCCTTTTATTCTTTATGAGAATCTTTCTTTTGAGGTCATTAGGAGAAGGTAAGGCTTTACCTGGATCAAGCTGTAAAATAATTTAAAGAAAAGGTTTAATAACAGCTATTTGGCCTATTTGTGCCCCTATTTTGAATTCTGACTTTAGGACAGCCATGGTAAAGGGCAGTGAACAAGCAGTGCCACCTCAGGCACAACCCTAAGAGGGTGATTGAGTGTGACTGCAGTTATGTTGTCTCCTCTGCTTCTTCCCTATCCCATGGGAAAGCTGTGCTCAGGTAAATGCTGGTCTCCAGCCTATGCCATCCTCAGTTGCACTGATCAGAATCCTCTCTCCTGCCTAACAGTGGCCATGGACATGATCTGCAACTCTTCATCAGAAGGCTTCCTACTTTCCCTCTGTCCCTGTGGTTCACACACAGTCCAAGACACAGCTTAACCCATTATCATTTGATCTCTAAATAAGTCACCTCTAATGGTCCCTTCAAGCTGTAATAACGCAAGTGAGACAGTCCACACATACTTACAAAGTAGAAAAGGCCTGGCATTGGTGAATGGAAAGCTATCTAGTCCTCAGCTAGGTAATGAAGACTATTTTTGCCAGTAGGGTATACGGTCACATCTTCAGTATTTGTGAAAGGCAAATGGCAAGTTTCACATCCACAAGGAAGTATTACTAAAAGGTTTGTTCCAGTTTGAGGAAGGAGAAAAAAACTGTTAATTAGAAAAGATAAAAGGTACAAAATCCTCTGACTGAAGCCCCATCACATCATTGAGGCTAAGAAACAGAGACCTGTGTATCATAATTAGCACCCTCTCCACCTCAAGCTTGCTAAGAACAGCAGGGAGTTGGACTGTGGTTTCCAGTGAACAGTAAGTGACAGAGGAGTAGAAGGTATTTCCAGGACTAGTAGAAATTCTTAGAAGAAATATTCAGATATTTTTATCCTTAAACCCAAATCTAAGCTATGCAGAAACGACATTCCTGATGAAGAAACAAAAGAACAAAGCACTACGAATTGAAACCAATTAAAAACAGAGGTGACAAATAACAATCCAGAAAAAAACCCCTAAATCAACCCAACCCAAATTCACAAGAACGGGTGCAAACCTCCTTGCAGAAGGGTAATGATTATCCACAACTACCAGGCTAGCTCAGTCATGGGAGTTTCAGCAGGATGAATGAAAACAATTGCTCCTGAGCGCGCTCAGGTTGTAATTCCACTAGATGTCAGTGCCGCAATGCCCATTTATCCCCGGGCTTCCAGGACACTACTTAGCATTCCCAAGCACAGGGCATAGCTCGATGCCCATTTTGACAAATATTTGCTTTCACTTAAAACCAAATCTGCTTCAGCCAGTGCCATATCTCTCTTAAGTCTGCCGTCCTCAGTCAGACGAGGTATCAGAAACAAAGCACTTATAAAATACACATTTCAAGCTTCTCCTGCCATCTCTGCAACACTTGCTTTGTGAGCAGCTGGGAACTAAATTCACCCATGAGGAGGAAATGGACACAAAATGCAGACGGCTCAGTAGTGCTACAGGACAGAGTATAGAGACTTAATACTGGGCCCTGAGGTAGCACCATGGCAGCCTTTGGCCAGCTCTTTTTTAGGCTTTCCTGAAAGCTGCTGGAAGCTGCAACTTGTGAGGAATGTGGCAAGGTGCTACATACATTACAGAGGAGCACTACGGATTTAGTTCTCTGGGACGCACTTTTCAGGGCAACAACCTAACATTCACCGAGCCTTGTGTGTTGCTGTCCACGCAACATGCGAGGAAAGCCAAGGAAAGCACAGCTCTAGAGATGTTAAATGATAATGCCAGCAGACGCCTTTGCAGAGTCCTCTTTGCTGTGGTCTCCCACAGCACTAAAGAGCACCTGTAGATTTTGGGTCACTGCTAGCCGACAGTGAGCATGTTGCTCAGTAGAGTAAGGAAGGCCTGGAGGTGTAGCAGCAAGCACTGGGTAACAAGCCATTAAAGTCTCAAATATTGTGTTTGTGAAGGAGTGGCTGTTATTATCTCCTGCCTTGCAGGAGAGTGAAGTGCATGCAGATTACAGTACACTTGACAGTCCAAATGAGACTGCAGGGAACTTCTAGTGCTTAATTTAATTCTTAATGCAGTAGTGGGGGCCACCTAGACTGCAGGATCTAATCTGGAGTATGAAGCACGCAAAGTGCAGTTGAAATGGAAGAAGAGGTTTCCTTAGCTGAGACTGTGCAATTTATAATTAACTGTTTTTCAACAGTGACTGGCAATTTCAGAGTTATGTATGACCTGCAAATACAATGTATGTGGTGTATTTTATGCAGGTGCTGCTATTACGTCACACATCAAGGGGATGGATTTCCCCAGGCTGCTCGCCAGAGCCCTGCACAGAAGAGATTAAACAAATCAGATAAGGACAAGTTTTTAACAAAAATAACAGACACCCAAAATCACTAGTCATTTTTGAAAGCACAGGACTGGCAGTGAACAGCACTATAGATAAGATCCCAGTTTATAACGTCTTTTAAATATAGCTAATATAAAAAAAGACTGGCAGAATATAACATACTGGATGTGATTCTAGAGGCTGCTTCAACAGGAGATCTCCAAAAAGATCTTCACAGTATTTTGACATCTTGTATTGTTGGTATTTGCTGAAAAAGATGATGTTGGTTAATTTCTAAATATAAAAAAGATATCACTATTACTCAGCAAAATAGAATAATACTAAGTAATGCAGATATCCCAAATTAAATACTGACTGCTTTCTCTCAACTGAGAAGTATTACTTTACTATAATTAAACTGTCAATAAAAATCTATTATCTGATGCAGATTAATTTAGTAGAGACCAAAAAAGTAGATTAACTGTATCCCACCCAACTAATTTAACATCCAAATATATTTCATAGCTTTACCAGAGAAAAATATTGCCATAGTTAAGCTAAAGACTGAATACTATATTAAAGTACAGTCTATTCCAAGTGACATTCAGTATATCTGCATATCCCTACATAGTCTTCAAGTACACTAAAATTATAGTATGTTTGAGCTGTATCATCTCTGTCATACATTGCACTATAAGGAAAAAAAAAAGCATACTACATACCTGCAGTGATTTTCAAATGAAAGAATGACAGGATACTCTGATGTAACAAATGCCGTTTCCTTAATAGCTTGAATAACATCCTTTAAAATGCAGTAACAGGATTCAAATTAGAACAGATCAAATTATAATCATAACGAAAGAGATTTTTTTTCTTCTCCATCCCACCCTGAGAAACACAGAGCTGAGTCTCAAATGTGCCAAGTAAAGCCAGAACTAGAACAAACACTATGTTCATTCTCCTCTGTTTCTCCACACCATTCCAGACTCAGCACCCAATAGGTGCCTAGAAGGTATTTATTCTGTGGTGCAAATAGCCACAGGATGTGAAAATATGGGGTGAAAGATGTAACCCTGTTTCCTGCAGTTTCTGTGCAAAGGCAGGCATAACAAAGGGTGTATGATGCAAGTCAGAAATGAGCTCTAAGATCTGGGGACAAGAACCTGTGCCTATGCAATTTCACAGAATCACAGAATCGCTCGGTT